TGCAGTGCATGGTTGTACAACTTAAGGCCATGTGGCTTATAAGAATACTCATTTTGTCTGACACAGAGGTATTATTAAAGTTGTCCGACATCCACCTGTAGGTTATATTAAAAAAAAAACCTGAATAAAACAAGGAATTATAAATGTTGGCTCACATACTGGTGCTGGCCTGAAAGATTCGTAATCTTCGTCGCTTGACCGGTTATTTTACCTAGCATATGTCATGACTTTTGTCTTTCAGAACTGACAAGCATGCATATACATTACAAGAAGTGTTAAAAGCTTCAAGAGCATCTTGAACGACCAACAAATACTACAGATGTTTCGCCGATTGGCAAGCTTGATGTAATGCACTCTACATTGCCAGCCAACTCAGAAGACTTGGCCAATTTTGTAGAGTTACTGAATGATAATATGCCATTTTCTAAAATTCAAAGAATTTTTTACAGTGTCAAATGGCATCATGATTGCAATCTGTCAGTAACAGATAATCCTTGTAATAAGAAGTTTCTACGCTTGACTTTTGAAGGGATTAAGCGTATCACCGCGAGGCCAATTTCCAAGAAAGAACCAATTACTGCCGATATTCTTAAGCAAATTGTGGTCAGATTTGGGCTTGCAGATAATCTTATGCTTGTCCATCTCTGTTCAATTTGCCTACTTTCCTTTGCTGGCTTTCTAAGGAATAATGAGCTCATTAACATTCGAGAATGTAATATTGATATGTTGATATGCATTCGTCATTTGTCAGAATATTTTTAACCAAAAGTAAGACCGATCAATATAAGGATGATTCTTGGATTTATATTGCCAAGACTGACACCATTACGTGCCCCGTTGCGATGTCGCTAAAATATTTACATCTGGCTAAAACTGCAGTTTTCACAGAACAATTCGTATTTTGACCAGTTGTGTAGTGTAAATCATCTCAGAGTTACAATCAGAGTTACAAGCTTTCCTACTCCAGATGTAGAGAATGCCTTGAAGGAAATCGGGGCTGATCCCACAAGCTTCGGCCTACACAGCCTTCGTGCTGGCGATGCGACTGCGGCTGCTTCAGCAGGTGTCCCAGACAGATTATTTAAGAAGCACGGCAGGTGGCAATCTAACAAATCCAAAGATGGGTACATGTAAGAGTCGCTCGAAAATCAACTTAAGGTATCTCAGAATTTAGGCTAGTAATTATAGTAGTCTGACCTTTCAAATGATGCGTATATGAAACAGTCGTTTGAAATTAATTAATCCTAACTCACTAGGGTGTGTACAAAATCATATTAAAATTGGAGGATTCAGGAATGTTAGGGTTAATAAATCTTTACAATTATCTCTGTATTATGGTAGTTGGATCTGCCCAAAGATTTGTATACGGAAGAGTCGTATGAATAAATACTGTATATATCTGAAATATGGTACCAGCGTTTCTTTAGATTTGCAAAAACTAATTGTTGAATGATATTCTATATTGCTTGTGCTAGAAGAATGCACCGAGTTGTGGCTCAGTTGCCTCCTCAATAAACGAAAGTGCAAGTTGATTATATATTTCTACCCCTCCCCGTTCTTTGTTACTTGATTTGGCGGAACTGTTGCTATCCGCCTGTATAGCTCGTCGCCGAAGAACGATGTTATCCAAGTTTTGTGCATTATTAACATGTTCTTTCTTCACAGGTTAGAAGGAGATATGGGGGGGGGGAAAAATAATTATTTCGTGGTTGAGTTGCAAATTAGCGAATAAAGAGAATTCTAATTAGTTTTGGAAATTACAACCTTCCCAAGTTTCCTTGCTTCAATTAACCACTTTCCCAAATTCCCCTTTAAAAGTAAACTTGCACAACCCGAAATTGAAAAGATGGAAGTTACCAAAAGACAGATAGACCTCCGTCCTGCCAATTAAAAACCAAATAGAAAAAAGTTTCCTCAATTTCAATGTCCTCTTACATCCACACACATGAACTGGTTTTCAAGTTTAATAAACCTTTACTTACATGCAACAGAGAGTACAAGTTCACAAGTATGAGTGTTGCTTTGCCGCATGGCATGGCCGGCAGCATGGCCAGCGCCACACACTCACGCAAACACACATACAATATGTTGTTCTTCGTAGTTATATCACCTCAGCAGATGGGTTCATTCCAGGGGTTGTTACATTTTTGAAAGTGTAGGCCTATTCAAAATCTTTGTTGTATATATTCAAATCAAATTGATTAATACAATTTCAAAAATGTATTAAAACTTTAAAGGCTGGTACATCAAATACTAATCCATTACATATACATGTACAGTACATCATGTAAGTACATGTACAGTACATTGTCGTAGTGTTTACTCATGCATGATGGCAAGCTTGCACTCTATAAATGGGATAAGCGTTACGGTGAAACTTGTGTTATATGTGTAAGATGAGGTTTCTACTGGAGAGACCCTTCGAGTTTGTATTAACCATGTTTGACTGTATAGCGCTTCTCCCCCTTGAGCCACTGAAAGAGGAAGGGGGAGTACAATGCATCTCTTTTCATTTCAGGTGATGTGTTGATTAAATTGATCGTTGCAGCATGCTTCATCCTCTACATGTTCGGATTTATCCTCAAGTAAACTTGAATCCTTGCTCTGTATTGGTAGATTCATGATAGCAGGCAGTGCTACATGTATGTGGTCTGTCTGACTGTACGCACAGTATCCAATATTGCCCATGTTTATTTCTAGCAGAAGGGAGCTTTGTTTACTGTACAAAGTTCTCTCTGAAAACAGTATGAAATACCTTTAACTTTACATTGACTAATGGGATGAGAGATGTACATGTATCTTATTTATCACCTTTTAATGCGCCTCCTTTGTGTTATATATTTTTTGGGTTCTGCATGCAGGTTCTAGTGCAGGGGCTGGTAGTGGGGAGTTCCATGTCTACAGAGGATACAGACGCAGAGAGTATGCCCGACAAATGTATATACAGAAAAAAGCAGAACAGGTACCTGTACAGTCGCAAAAATCAACTTTATCATTTATTTGTGGGCATTGTTGTGCCCCATATAAGTACCTTATTTTAGTTTTACAGGATGTTGATGCAAGCGTACAAATTGTTCCCTGTATCCTTTGACTGGGTACTGAATTGTGGACTCTAGTATTATTTTTAGTTCTATCAAAATGGAATTTGGTGTATCCAAATTAAGGGTATTCATTCTTTACTCTGCTTTAGCCTGGGAATAAAGTTCATTGGTCCATTGTTACTCTACTGAGGTTCTTCTGGGTCTTGTATGGTATGAGCTCATTAGCCTCATTCCAAAGGATTACTTGAAAGGCCATATAAAGCAGTTGTTCAGGAGATTTAACAAGGGAGTCTTCCAGAGCAGTGGGATATTCCCTATTTATTGAGGAAGAATCCCTAATCCCTCTAGGATTTTGCACAACTTGTTTAGGGCATGGAGGAGAGGATGCAGAAGGAGTTACAACTCTTGCACATCAAAGTGCTAGTTGATTATTGCTGCCCGGTCAGATGAACAGTAGTAAACATTCCAAAAATGCCTGATAACTGCCTGCTGCTTAGCCAGACAAGTGAGGCCAATAATATTGTAGCAATATTTGTGGTGTTTTCCTTGCAGTTAACTACAACTTATTGTAATGACCAGAAAAAATATCCAATGTTAGGTTTACTTTTGCCGTCGTGAATAATTGTTTTAAAAAAATTTTGATGCAATTTTCCATTATCCATACAATGTTTGTAATTTTATTTTGTCACTCCAAAAACCAGTTTTCAAATTTGGCTAAGACTGGCCAACAACATGTTGACCACCACTGGACAATTAAGTTCATGAAAAACAAAATGTGTTGTTTCATCACAAGGAGTGATAATGAGATCTCATAAAATCCTTTTTTTTGTATATTCGGCAATGCAAATGATTCAAATAAACCACAGAATCTTATCAACAACTTGGCTATTTATTCCCAAAATAAGTCCAGAAGAAAGGGTTAGATAAGGGCAATAACTGCACATGAACACTTTTGGTACACAGCCTAATATAAAAGCAACTGTGCAAGCATTAAATTTGATGTTGTTGTCAGATCATACCAAGCACCAGCGATGGCATGAATATTCAACTTCCTTTACTGCAATACACAACATTTTAAGGATGCAGAATACCAGTGAAAAATAGCGACGATGATCATGGGGCACAAATGGGACTTACGGTTTTGAAACAGGTGGTGCATTGCAAGCATTCGCTGCTCTCTGGCTATGGACATACATGTACATGTACTGGGCATGCCAGAAAGTGGTAATTGGCTAGATATTATAGCCAGGGCAGTTCAAACTCCTGTGTCCTTCTTCCATGGTTTAGGTAATCGGGCAGAGCCTGGCCACCTCTTCGGAATTGTTTGGATTAATCTTTATTTCCATCTTTGTTTCTTTACATCCTCATTTTTCCAGACAATCTGGAGCTTTCCTCCTAAACTGTTTAAGATATGAGCTTGTACTTGTATATTGTGAACACACATGTAAGTTTATATCGATCCTGATCCTAAGTGGTGCATACTACCCTGATGTCATCATGACGTCATCAGGTGTCAAATTACAAACAATTAAAGTTTTATCTTTTTAATCTGTAGAATCCACATAGAATCAATCCTGAGATACTTCTTGCTCTTTTGTGGAAAATGAAAGAGTAGATATAGATTTTCGGTTTTGTCATGTGCGTTATCACCTGACCTTTGCTTCCAATCAAGACTGGAAGCAGATGTGAAATTATGGTTGGACATCTGATATTTTCCAACTACTTATCACATTTTTCTGGCCAACTGCTGAAGTGCTAGGACAAAATGTCAGAACAGTGTACAGATTTGAAATCATTGGTCAAGTTGTGTAAATATTTGATTAGTGCTTAATGCAACGAGTGCAGGTTTGTTAATTGTTGCTGTTGCTTTGAATCCACTGGGGCATTTGTTTTTATGAGGCAGATTCAACCATTCAACATGCACATTTTGACAGCCTCCCCTAGCAGGTCATGAATTTGGCATACGTAGGTAGGACGACAGCTCGGTGTGGTCAGTTTAAAAGTGAGTGAGTACAAGTGGAACAGGTCACACCTTACAAATAGGCTTCAAGTCGCTTTTGACTGGTATCTATGGACATATACGCTAACACTTACTATTAATGTTTTTACCAAAAAACATTGACTGCAATTGATTTTGGAAACCTTGTTCAATGCATTTGTTATGCCCTGATTGTATTGTCCATACACTTTGGCATTTGGTCTTGGTTGCGTATGTTCCAGTGCGGAGGTTTCTACCACCATGGCTCCAGACTCCAAATAAAGTCTATCCAAAAAGTGAGGTCATCAGGGACCAAAAATCAACCCATAGCATTGTAAGTTTCAAAGACGTCACTACTTTTATTACACATATATTTGATGATGCAAAATGAAATAAGAGATCTTTTCCTTATCCATTGGAATAACTTTAAGTCAAGCTACATGTACCGGTAGCCTACGATCTCGAGCATTTTCCGTAGAATTCTAGGAATAGTAAGAAGAGCAGGAACAAATTTTTCACCTTTACAGTCCTGCCGATCTCGTTGAGATGTTTCTCTGGGGATCTGGGAATAGTACCAAGTGCACCCACAACAACTGACACACGTCCCAGTGGATCACCTTGGCTAAGTTGTTGTGCCTCCTCTTATGTTCAGTTTGGGCCATCTTGATTCATTCACTAACCAAATGAAACAGTCCTCTTTCTTCCTACAAATCCTGCACATACACTGGAGATACATGTACTTCTGCTCCCTCTATCCTGGACTTTCCCTCTATCCTGGACTTTATGATGTTTATCCTCCTTCCTTTCCCTCTCATATGCACCAGGGTCCACTTTCTTCCGTATCGCTTATTTCTTAGCCATCCTGAGCAATCCATCCTGTGTCCGAGAAACATACCCATGATGACTGCTCTTCTCAACATTCAGCAAATGATGAATTTCAACTTGTTTTGGCTGCAAGAACTCAAAATTATAATTCCCAATCAAATGCCATGCTGGTATTAAATTACTTAAATTATTAAATTACTTATTTTGGTAGTCTAAGCTTTACTCAACACGCTGTGACTGACTCGTATGTGCAGTTAAGTTGCCCTCAAAGATCGTTCTATGTAATGTTTGCAAGCCCACCTCCCAGCACATGTTCAAATCCTGCTATCGGGAGACAGCCACCAGTGAGACATCCATGGTCCACCACGTAACCGTGAAAGCTGGATCTCACTTGTGGAGTTCTCCAGTTGTCAAGCTGGGTATTGTGTGGCTGCTGCTTGGGTACCGGGTGCATTGTCCCTGCGACTTGGTGGATCAGTCCCCCAGTCCTTACAGGTATGACACCCTCATGGACAGTCAAGTACAAGCCCCACCCTAGTTGACTATCTAAACAAAACATTTACAAGCGAATTGCATGCATCTGCATGCAAACTTACTCATGCCTATAAAATTCAACTAATTAACTGTAAAAGATCTCATTTCTAACAATGCACATTGTCACAGTGTAACAGTAGAAGTAATTGTTTTAATTTTTAAGCGTGTATCATTTGTTACGTTTTTTTATTTCCTTGTAACCTGTATCATGTGTCAAATTGTTTGCCGCGTAAATGTCTCAGCCACTCATGATTTTGGAGTACTCGAGCGGAAAAATGCCATCCATGCTTACGCAAGAACGCTTTGTGAACAGGCCACGGTAGTTAAAGAACAAGGGGGTCCTAATTGCCGAACAATATATCCACCCGGGTAAGCTTTAGTGTACATGTATGTTTGCGCCTGCGGTTTTTCATTGTGGTGTATTATAAGAATGAGAAGGTAGCTTGCTGAGATACAGAGAGAGAGAGGGAGAAGACATTTTGGACTTTGCAGAGTGAAGATTGAGAGAAATCCTCTGAGCGTGTTTGAGACCGGCTTCAACTGTAAAGAAAGAAATCTTGATTCAGAAGATTAGGTCTTCGGTCAGTTCTAGATACTGGATAGGCTACTTTGTCCCAGTACCAGAATTCGGCAAACCATGCCAAATTACCAGACCCAGACCATAAAATTGTCGCCCTGGTTGTCTTGACATTTGCCAGCAACAGTCCATCTCACAAGTATCGGCTAAGCTTGATTACCGTAAGTGTTAAGTAAATGACTATTTTCAGTGTGGCATGTGTAAACTACACCTTTGATAAATTTATTATGACATTGTAATTGGTTGTGGTATTTTGTGTTGATGATTGAATCGAGTTGCAGAATTTCATGATTATCGATTTTTAGATGACAAAACTGAAAGAAGTCAAAAGTTTCAAGTCTGAAGTGGTCAAGGAAAAGACCAGCAAATTGATTTAAAGTAGAGATTGGAGTTAAATTGACCGAGTTGAAAAGTAAAGCATAGAAAATAATTCGTTGATTGTAATGTACAATGAGAGAATTTGAAAGGTTTTGAATGTTATACCTTTTAGGTGGCCTTCCTCAATTATGAAGTCAGATCTATGGACTGACTGGAGATGAAGAACCTGAGATCGAGCAGTTTGACAAGACCAGAGACCTGGTTTTACTGCTACCGCATCTGAGTTACTCGGCCCATGAGTTGCTCAAAGCTAGACAAACCTTGGAAACACCATTGGACTGTGACACTGCCACATGTTAATCATTTGTTGTAATTCAAAAAAATACCGGTGTAAAGACTTTATGTAGCAGAGTATAGCTATTTTACAAACTGTTCTTCTTACAAATTGGAAAGAAGAAAGTAATGTGACTTTGAGATGTGATAAACCAGATTTCAGCTGTACTTTTTTGGGAAAGAGTCAGTATTGATAAAGAATTGTACATAAAGTAAAGTAGAGAATAACTGGAAGTTGAATTGACATAATATAGTGTTACAAAGCACTTGAATCCGTTTTGCTTTTATTTCCTTTTGTGTGTTGTGTTCCAAATTCGAGGTTGCTGTTTTTTTGAAGTAAAAGTTCAACTTGCAAA